GCATGCACCCCCCCAATTGATTTGTGTGTTTGTATGTGTGCAATTGTGTTGCATCCTCCTGTCTAATAGCAGAATATTGAGATCCTGAGAGTTGGCATGACCCCACAGGGCAACAATATTGCAAATCAGAATCAAGCTTCTGGTTTATGATGCCCTTGACTCCTTTCAGAGGTATTGTGACCTCACACTTCAAAGACAACCATTTTATTTTTTGAATTAAGGATGGAACAGAATGACTTTCCAAAATGAAAAATAAAAACAATCAAGTATTTTCTCTGAATTGCAATTGTAACAAAATGTTCACAGTGTCATGCTTTTCTTTGTTTGAATTAGAGAGAGGCATTAGCAGTCAGGATGGTGCCAGCAAACATAACAATTGTTACTACAGGTTGTGTACTTTTATCTGCAAGTTCCTGAATGGAAAAGCCTACAAGACTTTCTTGAGAACTAAGATCAAAGAGGCAGCTTACCCAAAAGATGATGAAGTATCAGGCCATCAAATAGATCTTCCTCCAGGCTTTTTATTATTATGTGCTCCTGTTTCAGGGTTGAATTAATCCAGTCAATCAGTAACTGTAGGGAAAATAAGAAAGTTGGCAGGTACTGATGCAAGAAAATGAACAGCCATGCTTTAGCAGCAACAGGGTGCATCTTCCTCCTAGTTTCTCCTGTCCTGCCTATTTTACCTGGTTCATATTCTGGTCTTCTCTCTTATAGTTCCCACACTATTTCCCTTTTCTATCCTGGGTCACTGTCCAGCTCCGTAATCTATCCCCCACCCATTCCTTCTGTGAAATTTTGAGGTAACCTCACAATTTCCTATTTCTGCTTTCATGATTCTTCCTTCTTTTGCCAGAAGAAATGGATCAGGAATTCATGAGCTGACTGAAAAAAGTAAGTGTGTTTCTGTGCATATCACTGTTCCTTTTCAGTCAGTGCCTGATGTGTGGGGGTCTCTTGGGGTGAGAAACCAAATATTTCAAATTCATTTCACTCAGCAATTTTTTTTATCCAGAGAGCCTGCTGCAAAGGACAACAGACTAGGATTAATTTTCCTGGACACAATCTAGGAGCTGAGCCTCAGTACCCAGAAGCATGTCCATGCCTGTCTTTTAGTCTTTGCTGACAATATCTAACACACAACAGCAGAGGGATAACATTGCCTAGGGTGTTATCTAGGAATTAAACTCCAGTGCAACCTCTTAACAGTCTGCATAAATATTAGTCTCAAGCATGAATGATGCAGTGGGAAGACCAATCCAATGCTACCAGTAGACTGCTATTACAACATTTTGTTTGAAACACTGTACAGCTATAAGATCTTCAAGTAAGGAGTAACAATAAAGCTCTCTTGGAATCAGTTCCAAGACATTGGTGGGGTAAAGTGGTGCTAAAAGCCTCTAACCACAGCTAGCTGCAAATACCAAACTCCAGAAAATGATTATTTTTATTATAAAAAGGTAGATTGAGTGTGTTTTGTGGATAATATACTCTGCTATATAGTGGGTGCATTGACGTGTGCATATTAAATTCATGTGAATAAAACTCTGGAGCTTACTCCAGCCCAAATAAGTTGCCTACTCTACCTTAAATTATGCTCTGATCCTCCAGGGGATCCATCAACTGAGGCATACCCTTACAGAATCAAAGTCTGTGCTTGTAAGCATTGCATTTCCCTTGTTCGTTGCTGTATAAACTACCTTCATCATTAAACACCATTTGTACTTACACACAGTTGTTATTGAATTAACTAGCCAATTGCCGGTCAAGTATGAGGGGGGGGGGGGGCGGGATCTGGGATGGAGGGCTACTACCTAACGCTGCCGCTGTTCTGCCTCTTGCAGGGAGCGGGCTGGGAGAGCCGAGGCCAGCGCTGCTGGCCTTGGCTCCCCTACCCTCTGTTCAGTCCTTGCTGCAGCTTCAGAATCATGGCAGTGCTCCCCCATGCTTGGAGCACTCTGATTGGCTGTTTCTGACAGCCAGAGTGCAAATAAAGCATCACAGACAGACAGGCAGGCAGGCAGGCTTAGGCTTTTATAGTATTAGAATATTTGTTTACATCAAAGGAGAAAGTAGCAGTTTCAAAACCTTACCTATTAAGAGTTGTAGCATGCAACTGTACTCACTGCTTCTCAGCATTTTGGTGCTTTTTCTGATGATGCCAATCTATTTGGCAGATACACATTAAGATAATGCATCTCCTTTTGTGGGTGAAAATGACATCTTAAATGGTGGGTGTTCTCTCTCTGGTGGCTAGGATGCATTTCAGCATTTCATAATATTTAATGCTCAGATGATGGAATGCTATTCTGTCTATGTAGAAAGGCAAAAAATGTACATGGGGCACAGAACTAGGGCCCCACACTGACCGAGTTGCTAAAAGCAATAGCAATTACAGGCTGAGCTAAAGACGCAAGGCTCTGAACTGGAAAGGAACTCTCTTATCTCTGTGGATCAAGGAACCCTAGGTATGTATGTATGTATGTATGTATGTAACAGACCTCCTCCCCCTTGGTGCTCAACCTGCAGAAATATGAGATGTTACACTGATGAGCTTTGATTCTTTAGCTGGTTCTATGGTCCCTGGTTCTATGGTCCATACTCATACCCGTCCTAATGAAAACCTATCCTGAGAACATAGGTGGCATATTAAATGAAAGCAATCTTGAATGAACTATTATTTTTTATTTTATTAGACCCTTCTGCAAACTATTATATATCACTACTCTAAAGTTTAGTTACTCAAAGAACAGCATCAAAAAGAATAGTCGTAATAAAAAAAAAGCTCTGAGATGTTTGAAACCTTCAAAGAAACTAACAAACAAATGCTGTTCAGTACTGACAAGCTCTGAAAAAGTGTACATAATATTAAAAATCAAGAGAACCAGAATTTTCCCAGACTGTAAACCTGTCGTCTTCAACTAATACTTAAACTCTAAGATTTGATGATGCATCATACTTCTGCAGTTCAGGCTAAGAAGCCTAGAGCAGTGGCATAAACAGATGAACTGCATTGCTGAGACAAAAGTTATGAGCTCCCTTATTCACCTGCCTTAAAATATTCTTTTAACAGCCATCTCCCCAGCCTACAAACTCAGGTAACTCTGCTTTACCTCCAGCTACTTGAGTCTTGCTGGGTGGCAGAACAAAAGAAGCATATCTGAAAATTCAGGCAGAAAGAACAGGCAGGGAAAAGGAAGAGAAATAAATAGATGTGTTATCCTCAAATTGTGTTTTACCTGTAGTCTAATATTCATGGCAAAAGTGATCCATTTTGATGCTTCAAAAGCCACCCTGATAACAACATCCAGTGGGATCAGGAAACTAAATATTACCCCCAAATGTGTTTCTTTGCTTCTCTAAGGCAGGCAGGGACAATAACCCCATCTCTCTCTCTCTCTTTTTTTTTTAAAAAAATCTCTTCCTTAAAGGGTCAGAGCTATGACCTTTCTGAACAAGGACAATCCTTGCTACTCCTTGATGTGCCAGATGGCAGCACCAATGAGCAATGCAAAACAATCCCTCTTCCTCAGACAGAAGGAAAACAGATAAATCAGTCACATCTGCAGTTTAAGCTTCTGTAAGAGAAAATAGTAGGGCTGTGTGAAGCTTCGGTCCCCGATTTGATTCGGCAGAGATTTGGCCTGATTTGGTGGCCGAATCTCTGAATCTGAATTGAATCAAGAGACCCGTTAATCTCTCTGAATCGAATCAGAACCCTCCGAATCAATTCAGAGATTCAGAGATAGACACAGCTTTAAATGTTTTTTCTACTTACCTCAAGGTAGCAGGTGGCTTGTGAATGCTGCGATGCTGGGTCGCATGGAGCGTCTCATAGGAGTGTGGGGTACTCCCCAGCACACTCAGCAGCAGGCCCAGAAGCACTTCCAGTCCACTTCTGGGTCTGCCAGGGAGCACACTGGGGGTCCCCCTTCACCCCCCCGGCTCGGCAACTGCCGCCTTCTGGGTCTGGGGACCACCAGGGTTCCCCCTGTGGCCGATCACTAAGCTGGGGAGGGGAATGGGGGGACCCCCCAGGTGTGCTCCCTGGTGGACATGGAAGTGGACTGGAAGTACTTCTGGTCCACTTCCAAGCACATGGGGGGGCTCCCCACAATCCTGTGGGATGCTCCATCTGCCCCAACATTGCAGCATTCACGAGCCATGCCTGGTACCTCGAGGTATATAGAAAAAGCATTTAAAGCTGTATCTATGGCCAAATCACTGATTCTCCGAATCAGCATCAAATCTTCAGATGTGGATTCAGCTGAAATCAGATCAGGGACAGTGATCCGAATCAATGAATTTAATCACTGTCCCCGATTCGGGCCAAATCCAAATGTGATCAAATATAGCTTGCTTCACACACCCCTAAAAAATAGGTTAAACAGTAAAGCTCATAAAAATCTTCAAAAACTGAAGAAATCCTTTATTTTGGCAGTTTGGCAAGGATGAGCTCAATGTCTCTTATAGGGTATATGAATCCTTCCTCTATACCAGTGGTCTCCAAACTTTTTTGATCGCGCACCCCATCAGTAAAAAATTTTGAGCACGCACCCCCAATATATGTAAATTTATATAAATATACATATAAATAGAAGTTCTAATATTTTCTTGCCACACCCCAATGGATCATCTTGCGCACCCCCTGGGGTGCGCACACACCACTTTGGAGACCACTGCTCTATACCACCTTCAAATATTGTAAAAGAAATCTTCATGCAAAGATTACTTTAAGAAAAATATAATATAGAAACAGGCACGTATTCATAGATTTGTAAAACACAGGTCTATAGAATGTAAAAACAGCAAGGATTTATAGGTAAGGAATAAAAGACATGGTACCACTTGTAGTCCTTCCAGTTTGGGGTCATTGTGTGAGGTTGGTTTTATGATTTTTTTCTTTTCTCCTATAAATAGAACAAAAATGTATTCATTATACTCATCTGCTGTGACTAATGAAGTTTTTCTATACGAAATACCATCAGTTTGATATTACCCCATTTCACTGACTGCAACATGAAAAAGTGCAGTCGTTTGTAATGTTAACAGATTCTTTCTGAGGAAGAAAATGGCATATCAGATCATTACAATTGCCATTATACATCATCTTTTCAGGGAATTCAAAATCAATGAGACCTAAGTGATACTTTCTAAAAATAAAGAGAAAAGCCACGTTTGGCTTGATTGCTGTGCATAAAATATAAGCCTCAGTTAAAAGGATTCGCCAAAACTTGCATTGCTTCTTCATGACCTGCCTCGGGAGAGCTGGAGACCAAATTATATGCAAGAGGTTTACTTTCACTTGATTAAACCTGAGAATACTGCTGAAAAACACATGAAATTCAATTGTACAGAGGACTTATGTCTGATTCCCTGGGTCCCACCTCTGTTTCTTTAGTCCTGGTTCATAAAACACATACCTTGAACAATGTCATTCTCAAATGGCAATTGATTAAATGCAGTAGGCTGTGCATTAAGAAAGTCTGGCTCCATTGTATTATTTTTCACTCCTAGAAAATTGAATGGAAAGAACATTATAAACCATGGTAGAACCAAAATGCATCCTGAAGAGGAAATCAGTATCCAGTGAAATGAGTTCTTTCAAGTTCCTTTGGAGTGTTTGTGCATGACCCACTTTTAAACGTGCTGCAGAATAAATATATTGAAGCAACTTTAAAAGAAAAATAAAGTTAATCAGGTTTTTCTCCTCCTTTCTTTTTATCATCAAAATGTAGAAGAAAACCACTACAGTATACAAGAATCTCTTAACTCCAGTCAGTTCTGCTTCATCTGAATTAGATTAGCAAAAGCCTATTTTAACTCAGACAAAAAAAATCTTGTGATTTGAGACATGAGCAGGTATAAATCATAAAAACAGTTAGAACTTATAGATAGATGTTAGGGGTGGGAAAGGACCTTACAGATCATCAGGTCCCGCCCCCTGCACTTGAGCAGGAAAGACTGCTGGGGTCAGATGACTTAACTGATTGAAATGAATAAATCAGGAGCATGTTAGGTAGCTTAGACTGCATGCATTTCAAAAGGAAATTTTTTAAAAAGGCAGATTTTAAGGTTATTTCCCTTCCAAACCACTGTTGCTTCCCCCATGACAATTCATCCTAATAGCTTGACAACATACAGAATGCAGATAGGATTTTCAAAATAGATGGGAACAGTGTAAGAGAGCAGCAGCAGCCACAATGAATTTGGAAGAGGTGCAGGGAGGATAGGGACAGTCTCCTGCACACTCTGGAATTGATCCCAGGCCTACTCAAGTCTCTTAATTTCTCTGCTGCCAGCAAGTATTTGTGAACTCCTTCCACCAATTTGTCCCACTTCTGTTCTTCTCAGCTAGGGACAGACATTACACATAAACCAGTTTAATTGATCAGAAACTGGTTTAAACCTAAAACAGAACAGATGTTCAGTGCACATAAACCAGTTTAATTGATCAGAAACTGATTTAAACCTGTAACAGAACACATGTTCAGTGCACATAAACCAGTTTAAAAATGGCTGAAACTGGTTTGAGATAAACCTGGTTGAATGTAGTATCAGACTTAACTGATTTGGTTCAAACCGGTTTATGCAATGTATGTCCCAGACCCCATGCTCTCTGGGCTGGGTGGGGCCCTCTGCTCCACAGCAGGGCTGCCCCTCCCCTCTGCTCTCTGGCTGGAGCTCCAGCAGAGACTTGCAGGCACAGCATGGTCTGCCTGGCTTCCCCCTGCCCTCCCCTCGCTGCTCTCTGTTTAAGCAGGAAATCCCCCCTTCCCCCATCTCCCACACCAGGGATCCCAGCCTGATGGACCCTAGGCATGTGGTATGCTAGCTAACACAGATGTGCGT